AAAACCAGAATCGTGGCTCTCTGCTTACATCTTATTATTTACTGCTAGCATCAATAAATCCTCACAGGTAGTTCCAGTGCATTCTGCAACCCTGTAGAATATTGATTTAATTAAATAATGATTTTCTGACATTCGTTTTCATTTGACTTTGTATTCCCTTCCAGCTGCTGCAAAATAACAGCTAGTTCTTGACTCAACAGAAATCTGCTTTGTTCTGTCTTCTTTCTATAAACGCACACCCAGGGAAAAATGAAACAGGTCCCTTATCACAATGCATTTGCAAGCCAACGAGAATGAACAAAGAGAAAATCCACAACAGGAACTTTATACTGTGGAAGTGAAGGTTGTGTGTGTGTGTGTGTGTGTGTGTGTGTGTTGAGGGCAAGAGAGAGCAGACTGAGTAGTGGGCAGAATATGGTAAATATTTCCCGGCAGGCTGGTTAGTGCAGGTGCCTCACAATTACTGCGGTTTGGGTCTCCACCCAGCTCTGTGTGTGCAGCTTGCATGTTCTCCCCGGGCAGTCCTGGGCATGGGTTGTTGTTATGACATCCCCACTTCCAGTGAAACACAATACTATCCCCACTGTTTTCTTGGATTAAACTAATCTTAAAAATCATAGTTAAAATTTACTGACAATTGGTGTAAAGGAAACGTATAAATGCAGATAGTTAATTATGATTTGGCAAATATTTCAAGGGGAAATTACTGACCTCGCTCTCCTAGAATCCCCAGGCACTTTTTTAAAAAGGTTGGTTGGCTCCTGGGTATGGGGGGGTTTCTTCTGGGTCCAAAAACCATGCTGAGGTGAACTGGAGTTTCCAGATTGTCAGTAGGTGTGAATGGTGTGTGAGTGTGACCTGCGGTGGGATGGCCCCCATCCTGGGCTGTTCCCTGCCTTGCACATGTAGCCGCTGGGATAGGCTACAGACCCCCGTAACACTGAATAGGAGAACCTATCCCAGAATGCACAGGGTGTGAGGTAAAGCGGGTCACTGAATGGGGTGTCACTGCTTATTTAATGGTTCGTTCAACTACCAGATTGTAATTCTATATTCTTTTAACCCGCATGCTTCCTCTGCAGATTAAGCAGAAAGTCTAAGGGTTTAAGGTGCCCCCTCATGTCTGGAGCTGGCCACTTCCTCCAGTAGCTCGGAGAGTCGCGCGGGAAGCTCATTTCAGCACGTGGATGTGCGGCCGGTGCATAATGAAGAGCCGTGGGGAGTTATAGGCCCATCAGTGGCCGTAGTTTTTCCAGACCTAATCCGTTTATGACATGGCGGCTCCGTGCGCTGTTAGTACTTAAGGGCCGCGCTCCTTGAGTGGGCCTCGGCGTGAGCCGTGTCGGGACGCGCGGCATTAGGCTGTTACTCTGCCATGCTGGTAAAAAAAGACGTACGGCATAATGCACCCCTACTAGCCGTACAGGGATGAAATAATGGCGGAGTAAAAGATCCTTCTCCTCTCTGCAGTTGGGCGATAACGGGGGTTTGGGGGAGGAAGGAAAGGCGATTGGGCCGAACCGGTAAGACCTCGCGTCAGCGATGCGGTGAGGAGGAACAGCCCAAACGACCAAGTCTTGTCTGTGAGGAATGTTCCAGAAAACATATTTTTCTGTCTTGGCACCCTTTCTCTGACAAACTACCCCTAAATGCACACGTGGGTGAGGTGTCGCTTGCGTGGGCCGGGAAAAATCCAAGTATTATCCTTATGTTCCGTACAGTCTGTGAAAGGATTCCAGCCATTTCGCCACACGCTGCCTGCACCCTCAGCAGTCGAGGGGGCAGTGAGCTTTGCTCGCAATGTCTTGCCTTTCTGAAAATGCGTCTGATTTTTATGCTCTCATCAGACGCGGCCCGGCTTATATTGAATTAATCTGAAACCAGGCCGCTATTCATTTTAATGATTTAAGTGATTGAGTGTGGCATTTAAAAACGAAAGAGGCGTTCAAGGGGAAAATCATAACCAAGTTAAGCTATTTGCCACCACCTGGAAAAAATAAAAAAAGGATATTTCTTAATATATCTGCGAAGAATTAGTGCTCCCTCTGTAGGCAGGAGGAGTAGGCAGTGTGACTGCAGAATTGAACACAGATATTGATTTCAGTGAGTGGAGGAGATGAGGCTGACCGAATATCTCTCTCCTCCTGTAATGAATCAGCGGGGCGGATGCGGATGGCAGGAGAGGGGAGGCTCGCACCCTTATCTCGGCCACGGGTGCAACACCGGTGCTGGGGGAGAGTGGGAGGGTGAGTGCAATGCTCATACATTCCAGCAGGTGGTGTAGTGGTGAAGGACGCAGGTAGAACCCTACTGCACTTCATTTGAATTAAGCAAGTGCATAATCTAGTAGTTTAATGAATAAAAATTGTGACTGAAGGAAAAGCATTATCGAAAAATAAGTTTATTTGCACCTCTTGCTAATCTGCTAAAATTCCAGTGGTTTCAGGGCCCTGCTTCTGTTATCTCAGACTGAAAGAGACTTGTGATATTTTAGCTGATCTTGCTGTCTGTCTTTTAGATTCAAATTCTTCCAGCCTTCATTTGAAATATACGAAGGATAAATCGCCAGAGGTATTTTGATCTTGAAATATGGCCCATTGTTCCCACAGAAATCACCAGTTATTCTGTCCTTCCCCCTGAGCACGTGTGCAGCCTCTGGGGGGTGAAGCCCGCTTCTCAGCACCTGAGGATCTGCTAACTTTACTGGGAGGGCCCCGTGATACGCGCGGTTACTGGGAGGGCCCCATGCTACACGCGGTTACTGGGAGGGCCCCATGCTACACGCAGTTACTGGGAGGGCCCCGTGCTACACGCGGTTACTGGGAGGGCCCCGTGATACGCGCGGTTACTGGGAGGGCCCCGTGATACGCGCGGTTACTGGGAGGGCCCCGTGATACGTGCGGTTACTGGGAGGGCCCCGTGCTACGTACAGTTACTGGGAGGGCCCCGTGCTACGCGCAGTTACTGGGAGGGCCCCGTGCTACACGCAGTTACTGGGAGGGCCCCGTGCTACGCACAGTTACTGGGAGGGCCCCGTGCTACGTACAGTTACTGGGAGGGCCCCGTGCTACGCGCAGTTACTGGGAGGGCCCCGTGCTACACGCAGTTACTGGGAGGGCCCCGTGCTACGCACAGTTACTGGGAGGGCCCCATGCTACACGCAGTTACTGGGAGGGCCCCGTGCTACGCGCAGTTACTGGGAGGGCCCCGTGCTACACGCAGTTACTGGGAGGGCCCCATGCTACACGCAGTTACTGGGAGGGCCCCGTGCTACGCGCAGTTACTGGGAGGGCCCCGTGCTACACGCAGTTACTGGGAGGGCCCCGTGCTACGCGCAGTTACTGGGAGGGCCCCGTGCTACACGCAGTTACTGGGAGGGCCCCATGCTACGCGCAGTTACTGGGAGGGCCCCGTGCTACGCACAGTTACTGGGAGGGCCCCGTGCTACGCACAGTTACTGGGAGGGCCCCGTGCTACGTACAGTTACTGGGAGGGCCCCGTGCTACGTACGGTTACTGGGAGGGCCCCATGCTACGCACGGTTACTGGGAGGGCCCCGTGCTACGCACAGTTACTGGGAGGGCCCCGTGCTACGCACGGTTACTGGGAGGGCCCCGTGCTACGCACGGTTACTGGGAGGGCCCCGTGCTACACGCGGTTACTGGGAGGGCCCCGTGCTACACGCGGTTACTGGGAGGGCCCCGTGCTACGCACGGTTACTGGGAGGGCCCCGTGATACGCGCGGTTACTGGGAGGGCCCCATGCTACACGCAGTTACTGGGAGGGCCCCATGCTACACGCAGTTACTGGGAGGGCCCCGTGCTACACGCAGTTACTGGGAGGGCCCCGTGCTACACGCGGTTACTGGGAGGGCCCCATGCTACACGCGGTTACTGGGAGGGCCCCATGCTACACGCAGTTACTGGGAGGGCCCCATGCTACACGCGGTTACTGGGAGGGCCCCATGCTACACGCGGTTACTGGGAGGGCCCCATGCTACACGCGGTTACTGGGAGGGCCCCGTGCTACGTGCGGTTACTGGGAGGGCCCCGTGCTACGTGCGGTTACTGGGAGGGCCCTGTGCTACGTGCGGTTACTGGGAGGGCCCTGTGCTATGTGCTGTTACTGGGAGGGCCCCGTGCTATGTGCTGTTACTGGGAGGGCCCCGTGCTACGTACAGTTACTGGGAGGGCCCCGTGCTACGTACAGTTACTGGGAGGGCCCCGTGCTATGTGCTGTTACTGGGAGGGCCCCGTGCTACACGCAGTTACTGGGAGGGCCCCGTGCTATGTGCTGTTACTGGGAGGGCCCCGTGCTACACGCGGTTACTGGGAGGGCCCCGTGCTACGTGCGGTTACTGGGAGGGCCCTGTGCTATGTGCTGTTACTGGGAGGGCCCCGTGCTACACGCAGTTACTGGGAGGGCCCCGTGCTACACGCGGTTACTGGGAGGGCCCCGTGCTACGTGCGGCCGCATAGCGGACAGCGGGCGTCGCTGCGGAGTGGGGAATGGGAGAGATGGACCCTGGGAGTCTAACCTACCCTGAAACGGCTCGTCTTTATGTCCTACGAGCCTCACAGGGAGCCTCACTAAAGCAGAGCGGCATTCACAACTTTTTTAATATTGCTGTTTGTGAATCTTGGAGTTACTTGTTGCTTTTCCTTTAATGTTGCGTATTTACTGCTTGGTCAGTGTCTTCTACGTGATAGGGACCCAGCAGGAGAGCAATTGTCTTACAGGGTGGGCCCAGAACAAAGCAGGGGCCAGCTGTACTCAAACCCTCGACCCCTAAACCATCCCCCCCAAACCCCCCACTCACAGCGACCGAAGATCCTCCCGCTGACAGATGGAGGAGACTAATAGTACAATTATGCAGCCGCGCCGACGGTTCCTGTTTACTGCTCGGTTGCTAAGCAGTGACATCAGTTGGCCCCTCCCCCCCCACACTCCGTCTAATCCCCACCCTCCCTCTCTCTCTCTCTCCACCCTCACACGCACACACTCGCCGGCAGGGTCTGGAGCTGAGCTCTCTGAGCAGCCAGTTACCGTGAGGCAGACAAGCATGGTCGCAGAGAGACGGCGAGCAGCTTAGCGTCTCTCCATGTAGCCGGGTGTCGGGTATCTGAGGTCCAGTAGTAGCAGGAGACACTATCAGGAGGACATCCTCTTTTTTTTTGAGCTTTTCGCTAAAGGAAAACACAACTTTTTCCCCCAACCTGCTGTTCTCTGTTTTTTAAACTTTCCTTTTCATTGTTTTTTTTGTTTTGTTTGTTTTGTTTTTTTTGTCTTTCCTCACTTGGCGGGTCTTTGTGTCACCAAAGGGCCGCATGCATGACACTCCGCAAAGGCGAGAAGACCACCATCAGCATCCAGGAGCACATGGCCATCGATGTCTGTCCTGGCCCCATACAGCCCATCAAGCAGATATCTGATTATTTTCCCCGCTACCCGCGGGGTTTCCCCCCCGTAGCACCCCCCGCGCTCAGCCGAGCGGGATCCCTGCACTCCTCCTCCAGCCAGAAGTCCGAGGGCCCCCCCCCTGAGCAAGCTCGCCATGAGGAGGACCAGGATCGTGCCTTAGGGGCCACAGCGCCGCCGCCCAGCAAAAAGGAGGAGGAGCCAGATATGGAGGGTTACGACTCAGACGACTCTAGTAAGTGACCACCCCCCCCTCCATACCTGCTACCAGCACCCCCACCTACCCGTCGCTTCCTCTCCTGTGTTTGTGCATCTCTGTCCAACCAACTGTTGCAATTATGGCTGTTCCTCCACAAATCCTGTGCCATGCGTCTCTCTCAGAGGACCAGCACCGGAAAGCGATGAGGTCACAAGGTCACAACCGATACTTACCTACTATATCATAATTTCACGGTTGAAGAAGTGTATACTAACGGTCGGCTTGTCCGCTCTGTGCATCATCATCTGACATGATTTTTTTTTTCTTTTTTTTGGTTTCACTTTATGCCTTTGAATGTCAAGCAGGGAATGAATCAGATTTCGGTCTGCGCGCATTTCTCAGACTTGATCGGAGCACCGTGTTGCTTTGCACATCTGAAAGGTTTAATCTCCCAAATGAAAGCGGCCATGCTCGTTCGTCATGCCTGAGGGAAGCGCACGCTCACAGTAATGCGCGTCTCTGTCGCTTTGCTTTCACATTCATCATAACGGCGCATTTAACTACTAATGCAAAGTCTTAACATCCTTTCATCTAATGTTTATCCATAGTGGAAGTTTATCTGCATCCTTGAAAAGGCACTAAAATCTGGTCAACCAGACTCTGAACACAAAAGAATCTAAACTTTATTGTATTTAATACATTTTTCACTCTGAATTACCTTTGAAAAATGTCTTATGGTTCTGGTTTTGTCTATTGCAGTGCATGCTTATAAATTTCTATTATGCTGTCTCTCATTTAAAAGCAAAGCTTCTGTGTGAAATACACGCCTCTTCTGTTCTCTATTTTCAGTCAGACTGTCTGTGTTACTTGTTGAATTAGGTCTGCAGTGGCAATGACCCATTAAACCCGGGCTTGTGCGATTCGCCCTGACTGATGACAGTCAGGAAGAGCTGATTTCACTCTGCAGTTGTTTCTGTACAGCAGGCTGCAAGATACCGTCTCCAGGTTGGGAATTAAGACTCCCTCCGGTTAATTACCCACCACCTGTGAGACGCAGACGATTTCGGCGTCAAGAGTCGGGGGGGTTAACCTGGGAGGTGCAGCCCATGGCAAATTGCGAGGGGCCTCAAACTGGGATTTTAATCCTGAGCATAGGTGTAAAGTTCAGGTCCAGAAAGTACAAATCCAGCCCAAGGTTTTGTTACAACCAACCAGTTGAGTACCCAGACTCGGTGATTGTGATTCTTTATTCTTAGCTGGTTGGTTGAAGCCAAATCTTGGTCTGGATTTGTACTTTCTGGACCTGAACTTTCCACCTCTGTTCAGGATTATAATCCCAGTTTGAAAGCGCCTTGCCAGGCACCATCGCAGATGTTTCTTGCTTACCCTACATTAGCCACACTGTCCTGTATTAAGGAAAGAGATAAAAGTCACCAGCCTTGATCTACCTGAGGACCTAGCATTCCAGTACTCATAAAGAGATGGTTTGCAGAGAGATTCCTCTACATTCTTAGAGTCCTTGTGGTTTGTTCTTATTGTGTCACTTTATTATAGTTTTGATTGCTTAGAATATTGCAGTGTCTGCAGTGCGGAACAGCACCATTCAGCCACTTGAGGAGAGCGTGCAGACATGCGTCTGTGTCAGGATCAGGGCATTATGGGAGAGATTGAACTCTGGCTGTTTGGGCTAATTGTCACGACCGTTTCCAGAAGGTAAAATGTCACCATGTAGCTCACCCGTCTCTCACCAGCCACCGCCGTCGGGTGAGGAGCCAGGAATCGGCAGACAGCAAGAAAACAATTAGTCACGATCGGGCATCTATCGTCGGAGTTGGCAATTAGAGAAGAGCCCACGTGGTGGCCGGGGAGACGCCCTGAGGAACGGGGGACTTCAGGAGAGGAGAGATCGGATGCGATGTAGAAGCACAGAGTGGGGGGGGGGGCAGTGAGCGGCTTGCAAGGGGCAGACGAGCTAAACGGTGTCAACCGCCGCAGACAGCCCTGCCCTGCGCGCTCACCGATACGCCCTCGCTGCCAGCTGCCTTGAGAACACACTGAGCCTCACCATCCCCACACTGGCTGGCCCGTTGACGGCACATTGACAGCGAGGCGCCTCCTTAAAGGGCCGTTAAAGCCTGAGCGCATCTGTTTGGCGCGGGAGGCCCAGAGTTTTCGGTATTCGTCTGCCCTTGCGGGGGATTTCCCCACTCCGCTTTAGTTTTCACGACGGCAGATGCGAACGTCGTCCAATCACCGAGTCACTCTCAGCGCCAGCATATGGTTCGACGCCACGTGCTGCGGAGCGTTAATGAGCGCAAAGATGAAATTCCGCTGTCATGGTAGCGGGACTTATTAGATGAATTGCGTACATCAGTGTTTTCCAATCCAGTTCTTGAGGACCCATAGACAGTCCACAATTTTGCTCCCTCCCGGCTACCAGTATGGAGCAAAAACATGGACTGTCTGGCAGGGATATTACAGTATTATATATTGTATTCAGTGTTTATTTCTTAAATATTCAAAATGTAAAACACCTAAACTGTAAACTCTCACCAAAGAAAGCAGTTTGAAGATGGAGAAATGGATGGACAGATGGATGAATGGACATTGTTAGTATTCAGTATTGTATATTGAATATTGCAGAAATATATAAAGAAATATACATGAACCATGACATGTAATGTTGGATGAAGCCGATCAGATGTTAGACACTCGGGTTATATGATACAGTATATCGTCAGCACTGCTTTGTGTCTGTTAACACAAGTATGGCAATACTATAAACTTATTTGTCACACTTTTGGTAGATAATAACAGATTCTATTGGCTGTATTTTATTGCAGATAATTTAATCTCCTTTTTTGTTTCATAAATACCACGGTGTTACTGGCATAAATTTCACATATCGCGATGTAATATCGTGATGTGAGATTATGCAGCCCTAATTCAGTTTGGTGCCATGCTGATATATACTCTCCCATTTCGCCATGCTTCTAAAACTGGGTGCAGTCCCCATAACTATAAAACATCACACAACACTTTCAGCTTTTCTGACACCTTGTCTCAGGGTCTCAAGGTGAAGTCAAACGAAATTATGTAGAAGCACCTTGCGTAGCACTGTGCAGGCATCCCACTGCGCGCAGCACTGTGAAGGCATCCCACTGCGCATAGCACTGTGAAGGCATCCCACTGCGCGCAGCACAGGGGCTAATGCGCCATCACCACAGAGAATTTCAGCCCTTCAAGTGAAATGGAGTCAACTGCAATAACTGGCCCCAAGAGACACCTGCTAGGAACAACACTCACCTGTTTGGCAGCACCATTCCCACACTGTGGGCTTCCAGTTTGTCGTTACAGTATTGACAAATTTGCATGTCTATGATTAAAAAACACCCAAAGTAACATTTTCTGCTCTATTTCTCTCAACTTAGATTTTAATTGAGGAAGAAAACGACATCTCCTGCTGGTTCTGCCCTCACAGGGCAATCAGAACATTTCTAAACACCATTTGCTTTTTATTGGTTTTTTTTTTCCAATATCTAGGAAAAGCAGCATTACTTCCCTTTCACATTCTTCTGTCATTCACACATAATAACTGGCCTGGCACATGGGCAATTTTTGCATGCTTGATAACGTGGATTGGCTGTTCCTTGTCAGTAAAACCAGACATGAATCATACATTGTAAGCGACTCACTAGTGATATTTTTCAGAGAAATTTGGATAGAATCTGTTTCGCCTTTGTAGCTACAGTTTGTTGCACCTTTATGTCCCAAAAGACACTTTTCACGTAATTTGTCATTCTGCAATGCTTCACTCGTCTAACCCTCTATTACTGAGGGAAATAACCAATCATGGGCAGATCTTTCTGAGCCACATCATAGGACCCTATTAAGCATCTCCCAAGCTATCATTTGTCAGTCAGAGGCAGAATACAGAGCATCCTACTTTTTCTGGACCTTAGGCAGGATTTGTAAGCCCTATTTTGATATAACAGTTCTCTGTATAACCTATTTGACTACATGTAACCTATTTGTTCATGAAAATTGCCATTGAAGAGGTGGATTAGAGAAAGCCATTGAAAATGCATCAGTTTGGTCATAGTAATGATCCCTTTAAACATTAATAGCCAGATTCTACATCTATAGAGTGAGATTAGCGACAGGTAGGTAGTACTGAATTGCAGAACTCATTTTAAATAAAGTTAATATTTTTAGCATTTTTATATTTTTTATTACAAGACCTTGTATTCAATATTTTTGTCTTTATTCACATCTTTTGGCTTGTAAAACGTCTAACAAGTGGGCACCATCTGGGTGGACAAACTGTGAAATGAGCAGTGGACATTTTTTTCATTGTGTTAACTAGCTTACACGCGGAACAGAATGAATGGGAAGATATTGTCCCAAATCAATGCCATAGTACGGCTTCATTCAGTGCATTTACAGTTCAAAAGTCATGTTGCACATGGTTTCAATGAATTGGAGCCACTGATGACAAATACTGCGAGAAAACCAAGAAATGCAATGTCTTAAAATATGCCTAGAAGACTGAAACATTTAATGGTGTAATGCAGCATATTGTCATGCTGTCGAATGGGTGTGGCGAAGCTCAAAAATGTGAAATATTGAACTCTATATACTCCTCAGGCCTCATTCGTCCGAATTTAACGTAACCTGAACATATAAAGTGCATTTACATAGAAGTCGATTTACAATACGTAAGTATGCAGAAATTGAAGTCTGTCTCTGTTTTTTTGTATTTCTTCATTGTAGTTCCTGGATATATCGTTCGACACTGAATTTGGAAATTAGATTGAGAATACGTACTGTATTCATGTTTTTATACCTGACTTAATGGTAATAGAATTCAGATTTAGTGTTTCTGTCTAAATGCCAAATGTGTGTAAAACTGATAAGTAAATTTCTGAATGTAGTTAAATTTTACAATAAAATAATCTGCAACACTTGAGGGGGCACAAATAATATAGTAGTACACTCTTACTTAATGCATTAATTAACCAGTAACTAAGTGTTAA